AAATATGTGACCCGAAACCTTCATTTTGCGGACAATCTTGTGATTCTGGTCATATTTATTGTCCAATAGTCGGAAATGATACTAATAACTGTGTAATAACTGCTGTAGATAGCCAATTAAAGGAACTTAATTTTCTTCGAGATACCTCTGATATATGTTCAAATGATAAAAGTACTGGTTGGAATATTAACCATAATAGCAAGTGTGATATTAAAAAATTCCAATGTAAATAATAGGTCAAACGTGAATGCAATATTTAGTATCGATAATTTCGAGATTTAATATTATTTGCAACTTATTATTTTAAAATGTTTATCTTCTAATATACTAATAATAATATTTATAATATTTTTATATTCATTTTAAAACATTTATATTTCTTCCTTTATCTTACATATTATAATAAAGAAATATTTTTTCCTTCTGTTAAATAATAATAATAATAATAATCATCCGTGATATATTGCTGTGACGATATAATATTACATTTACTTTAATACTTGACATATTAACATCGAATTCAGAACACCGATGATACAGAAAAGCTCCTTATTTTGATTATTTTGAAGAAATGACTGCGCGTATCATTGGGTGTTCCATCAACTATGTAAATCAAAACATTGTTAAGTATCATATAAATATTTACTATTAGAGATTTTTTTTGTAATTCTGATAGGTTAAATTTTCTTTATAATAATAAATCGATACATTTTAGACTTTAATAACTTTGGATTCTTCTTAATATCTTCTCTCCAAATTTTACAAAAAATTCTAAATTATTGTCTCATTCAAGAAATAATAATTAAATCTTCTTATACACAGCTCTCTAACAAAAATTTTTTCTTTGTTGTTTTTCAAGAAAGCGAGGTGTCACATTTTTTTTAGGTTATAATTTATTCATTTACAGTTTAATTTGTCTGAATGCTAACATATACCGAATTTATTAACTTTAAAGATTTAGGATATTTTATTAGGGAAAAATCGCAATAATAGTAGCAAATAATTTAGGTTCGACATGCTTCACAAAAATCTCTAATGGCAAATTTTATAAGATACTTAACAATGATTTACATAGTTGATGGAACACCCCAGTATAAGAAAGTACTGATTGCCTTCTAATACTGGTAATATATAATCCAGTACTTACAACTACTGTGTGTATTTGATATTATCTATTGAATAAAATTTTATCCCATGAACATTAAAAAAGAATATTCTTTCAAAAAATTTTAAATTTCTCACATAAGAATATCACAAAATAAATAAATAAAATAGAATAATATTTTTGGGTAAGAAAAAAACAGAATTTTGATACTTTACTTCAAATGATGTGAAGCACAAGGTCATAATTCTTGAAAGTAACATGAAGAATCAGGTAGCTCTATACTTGAAAAATCTAAATTCAAACTTAGTAATCTTTTATATTAACAACCTAAAATAAAAAATTATTTTAAATATTCGAATTTTTATTTTCTTAAATTGTAAAATTTATTTTATTATCCATATGATAGGTTATCATTGAGATTAATTATTTTATTAAATAATATTTCCTAATTTCTATTATGAAATCCTTTGCTTATATAGTTTGATTAATTAGAGCATATAACTTGTCAAAATTTTTGATGCTACTAATAAAATAATGTATTTATTTATTTATTTTTTATTTTAGAACTATATCTGTCTACTCAATTTTGAAGGAAGCATTATCGCAAAATCATCTTTCCAAAGGATAAGTGTATTTTTTGTTCTCATTAGTACAAAATTTACTAATTCTTTCAAAATGTACTTTCAAGAAAACATTTTTGTTTTCTATTATCAATTGTTATTAACATCTCATGTATAATTTAGTAATTGATTAAAACATGAATTATTAATAAATTATTATGGTACAAAGCTTTTTTCTATCATTCTCAATAATTTCCCATTTTTCAACTTTCAAAAACTATTTCACTTTTGTTAAAGGTGTTGAATATTAAACTTAATAAATTATTATGAAATGCAAACTTGATAAATTAAACTTTTTATTTACATATAATAAATGATTTATTTTATCATAGTTCTCTTGGACAAGTTCTAAATATTTTGAAAAAAAATGTTCTTTTAAATGATATAGAAACTGTCTTCGATTCTATCTCTTAAAGTGGAATAGTTTAAAGAAAAAATTTTATTAACAACTTTATTATTGCAATGGAGATGGATTTTCTAAAGAAACAAAAATTTCTTGGTGGATTAATGGAGTAGAGCATAATTTGTATCAAAATTTGTTGTGAGGCTGATACGCCATATTCATTGCAAAAACAATATATACACACCAGAAGAATTCAATCACTTGATTCATCTGCTTTTACAATGTATAAAATATCAATAATTAAAAGACTTTTATTTTTTTAAAAAAAAAAAATTATCTTGTTAAAAATTAAATTAAAAAAGAATGTGTCGGCGATTATCCTGTTGTAGCCCAAATCAATTGAGATAGGTAATTTTGCTGAGCTCCGTGTAAGACGCGATAATGCGTTAATGTCCGAAATGATACCAATAGTCGAAAAAATATAATTAATTTTAAAGAAGACTTGATTGTTTAATTCAATTAAAATAAAAAATTTCCCAAGTTATAAATTAAAATATTTATATTATCCAATCCAGTTATCGCCATTATTAAAGTTTATAAACACACAAACTTGCGAATAAATTTTAATTGAAATTTAATATACAAGGTAATTTTGGTTGAAAATCTTCAAAAAAACTTTTTTCTTAAAAATTTATAACAAAGTCTGATAGTAATAAGAAATAAAAGCAAAGCTTAATAATTTTTTCACATTTGCGTTAGAGCCAGAGCAAGCAATGTTTAGTCTAAGGTCAGGCAGGATAAGCATTAAAGCAGGCACGGTACGAAACATTTGATGATTGATAAGCTTCGTAAAGGAATAAAAAGAATTAGAAAAATTGGCTCAGAAAGTCCAGTTAGAAATCAAGAAAATGAATTTTTATCTTGTTTAGAGACTTTTGCGCACGGTTTGACTCATCTTATTTTTAACTCACTCGCGAACTAAAACTCATGATTAAAAACACACTAATTATCGCTTTAGTAATAGTAATTATCTATCTTTACTATCAAAAGCAAAATACTTTTTACCATTCTGCTATCATATTCTTTCAAACTATGAAACTTGGTACATTTTGCTGCGTCATTCGTAAAGTTAAAATTTGTTTGAATATTCAATATTATTTAATTTTTTTATATAGATAAAAAAAGCAAAAAAAAATAGCACAGTTTTTAATTTCTCTTATTTTAGTAATAGGGATCTTGGAATTTTTTTTACATATCCTTTTTTTCTTTGCTTTAGCGATTTTTTATGTAAAATGTAAACACAAATTACTCTAGCTTGTAAGGCTACACAAAAACCACAATGCTATTGTTTTAAAATAAAATATAACTGATTTGACGTTAAAAAAATTTATTGTTTGTAAAAAATCTCAAGTAACATTACTGCATCGAGAAAAAATTATTGTAAAATGATTGGTAGCGGACGGGACGTTTAAGGGAGGAATAAGAACATAGTAAATCAAAATTCTGCCGGTCTCTCCGACATCTCACTAAGCGAGAATTGCATTTTCTTTTTGCTAATTCATACTGTTTGTTTTGCTGTTTAAAACAGCACCTATTTTATCAAAATGGTTACTTTTTAGAATTAATTCCAAAGGTTATCGTATCCTTCCCACCCTAAGATACCCTTTCTCTTTTATATTTTTCTAAATATCCTTAAAATTTTTTAAGTGATATTTGAGAATGAATGTTTTAGTCGAGCATGCAATCAAATACATTAGTAAAAATTATGAATAAATTTTTTATAGAAGAAGAAAGCTGCGCGTGATTGGCCATTAGCCGTGTCAAATTTACCAATAAAATTTCTAACGTGAACATTCGAACTAACAATCATATCATATGAACTCTAGTCTTCTTTGCAACTAGCTTTATTTTACCAACAAGATCGTATTATCCTTTCTTTAAACGGATTTTCTAATAAATATTTTAAAACGTATAATACTCTTGAAAATTTAATCTCACATCGGTAAAAGAAAAGTCAATACCGAGTTAAAAGTAAAAAAGAAATAAATCTAAAAATGAGAAGAAACGAGAACATTTTAGAATATATTTTAAATGTAAACCATTGCATTCATAAAAATTCCTACTGGTTAGAAATACCCGTTAATTCAATTGATGCCATTGAAATTTCAAGAAGAACAATCAAAAACACGTAAACGTGGATTAAATGACACATCACAATTTCGAACTGTGAAGTCACGAATGTGGAAATGGAAATAATGATTCTAAAAGAAATTGCATCTTTTAAATGAAATTTTTAAGATAGCCGATTATAATAAAGATCAAAGTGACTGTAACCGCGACGTTAGTTCTTCAATAGGTAAAGATAGAATAACCTCATCGTCTGAGGCGGAACTTTCAAATTACTGCTCCAAATCTTGCGTTATTTACGATGAAACATGTTGCGATAAGTGCATCAAAAGACCATTCATTCTTTTCATACTTCCAATAAGTGTACTTATAATAAGTATGGTCTTGTTTCCGGATACTACTATTGTATAGTTGGTGGTGACAGTTATTTGAAGGTGACGCGACCTTCTTTTATAAACACGACTCTATAATTCCAAAATTGTTAAGTCATGTTGAGTTTATAGAAAATTTTGTTGTAAAAAAAGGGGTGGAACTTTTAAGAAATCATCAGATCACCCGGGATGAATGAATAATTAAAAAAAAAAAAAAATTTAATTGAAATAGGTACAGTAAGTACTCGAACTCAAGGCATGCCGCACGTTTCACACAATGTCAAGACCTGTTACCACTACAACAATTCATCTTTGTTATTTACATAAAAAATTAAATAATTTAAACTAGATGCATGAAATGTGATTAATTGGTTAAATTATTTACCTCATAAAATTTCACCCACGTGACTTTTGGCCGGCATTACGCAATAAGAAATTAACTGTGCCCGCGCAATTTTGGAATGAGTCATTTGACGACCTCATTTGACCATAAAAATAAATAATAACAAATAAAAATTACTTGTAAAAAATTTAGGTAATTAAATAAAATAAACTATAAATAGTATTGTTCAATAAATTTATTATATAAATATTTGGATTTTTAATTATTATATTTTTATTACATTTTCATTTAAATTTGAAATGCTCATATGTTCAATTAAATAAATTCATAATAAAATAAATTGTTTATAATAATATTTAATTATATGTAATTACCTGATTGTAATTTTACTAACTTTTAAAATATTTCTATTTTCTTTATATTGCAATATAACGATAATATTATTATAATATTATTTATTTAAACTAAATAATTATTTATTAAATAAAAATATTATACTATTATTATTAAATAACTCACTAACTAAAGTTATTTAATTACTTAAATTTGATTATTTCTATTATTGAGTTATTTTATTAAATATTTTTAGTTTTAATAGCTAAATATAATCAAAATAAATAAAATAAAATAATTAAAATTGCTAAATATAATAGTAAAAAATAAAAAAAAATTAATATCTCTTTAAAAAAAGAAATTATTAATAGTAAAAGAAAGCTTTAGAAAAAATTAAAAAAATTAAATAATTAAAAAAATAAAAACTTAAAAAAAATCTATAAAATTTAGGATTAATAATAAATAAAAAAAATAATATTAAAAAAGTTACTATATTACTAATAAACTATAATATTATATTATAAATAAATAAAAATTATTAATTGATTTATTATTATAAAACAATAATTTTGTTAATAAAATATATATTATTTATATTGATTTATATCTGAAGTTTAAATTATCTAAAACTTAATTTTTTTCTAAGTTTAAATAAATTTATATTTAAATTAGTATTTAACTAAAATTAAAATTATGAAATTAACCAATTTAAATAATAAAAGGGCATTTAAAATTTGAATTCCAATAATATTTAATTGATTGAATTTCTTTAAATTCTAATTTTAAACAGAAATCAATTTCAGTCATAATAATTAAAATTGAAAATTAAATTAAAATAAATAAAATTCAATTATTTATATTTCAAAAGAATCAAACAGTAAGAAATTTTTTTTCATTTTTTTGATTTAATTGATCTTTAATAGTTATTTTTTAATAAGATTATACCATTTTTATATACATTATAATGCATTTTATTATTATCACATAAATATTATTTTACTAATTGTTAAATATTTATATCAAAAGCATTTACAAAAAAAATTGACAAAATTTCATTTGCTTAAAATTTGCATTTAATTAGAATTACTTGCTAATATTTTATTCTAAATATTTCAAAATGTTTAAATTTTTTAATTATACTTTATTCTAAATTTGAGTTATCTAATATAAATATTAATATAATACTTTTATTCTAAAATATTTCAAGATGCTTTATAATATTTTATTCTAAAATATTTCAAAATATTTTATGATTAGTAATATATAAAATTAATGAACTACCTGATGAAACAAAAAAAAATTTTTATATTATATATTCTCATTTTTTATAAACTTAATAGGCTGTATTAACAAAATTCAGTTATTAAATTTACTTTACCTTTTATTTTAAATATTATAACTAATTGAAATAAAATTAAAACTTATATAAAAACTTAATGATTATAAATATCATAAGATATTAAACAAGTTATAAAAAAATATGACTATATATTATAGTGTATTAATTATAATTTTATCTATATTATTAGCAAAGATATATTTTAATTGATATGTTTGAATTTTTTTATTTTATAAAAAAATTATTTATTTATATTAAATATTAGCATAAAAATTAAACTTTTAAATAGAGTTCTAGACAAGTTAAATTAACTCACAAGTCAGATAAGCTGAGTTGAGTTTAAATTAAATTGAGTTTATATATTTTAACTTGATGATTTGCGAATTAAATCAAATTTGAGTTGAGTTAAATATTTAACTCAACTCAATTTAAACTCGACTCAAACTTAACGTGACTTGACTTGAAATAGTATTATTAATAAATTAATATTTTAAAACTATAAATTATACATTATAATAATTAAAATACTTTATAATAGTTGAAATATATTAATAGTTAATAATTGAAATTTATTTTAGTAATTTAAATTATAAATTTTAAATTTAATTAAAAATGCATAAAGTTAATTATTTTTTTATTAATAAAATAATTAAACGTTAAAATAGTATAGTTTAGACCTTTATTTTAATAATTTTTTATTGATAAAATATATAAAAAAATAAAAATTATTATAAAATTATTTAAAAAATCTAATTTTTCGTAATACTTCTTTTTCTATTGCTTTAGCAGTTTTTTAGTTAAAGTAATTGCACTAGTATATTGAATACTACTTTTACTTAAATTAAGTTTAGATAATAATTAAAATCAACCTGTTTCCATCCTAAATCGCCAAAAAAAATGTAAAGATAATAATAAATAATTGACCCATTCTCATCCAAATTACCCAAAAAAAATGTAAATATAATAATAATAAATTGACTCATTTTTACCCCAAATCACTCAAAAAAAAATGTAAAAGATAATTATTAAAATCAACCTGTTCCCACCCAAATCACACAAAAAAATATAAAGATAATAATAAAAAATTGACCCATTCCTACCCCAAATTATCCAAAAAAACATAAAAAATAATTATTAAAATCGATTTAAATTACCCAAAAAAATGTAACTAAAATAATAAAATAATAATAAAATTGACCTGTTCCCACCCTAAATCACCCAAAAAAAAATGTAAAGATAATTATTAAAATCGACCTTTTCCCATCCCAAATCACCCAAAAATTTATCATTTACCATCATTCATTACAGGATCGTCTTCACTTTCTTCAGCAACGAATGAAATTTCTCTTCTAATTTCAATATATTCCTCAGTTTCTGTTACATATTCTTCTACAGTTGTAACTCCTGCTTCGACTTCAGTATCATAGACTGCATTAGGTTGTGCTTTATATGACTACTTTGAAGCATTATAGGAATGTAACTGGTCATAATGCTATATATCATTATTGTATTTTATCTTTCATTGAATTTAAGATGATAATATTACAGCAGCACAAAGATCAAGTATTTTTCTCAGTAAATTTTTCAGTTAAAAGAAGAAAATAATTAGTAGAATATACTAAATAAATTTGAAATATGCTAAATTACATAAAGAAAATAATAAAACTCAGCTGATCACCAAGAATAGTCATATACAGTGATAATGGATCTTTGACGATTTTCTTCATCTGTTTTTCTGATTTTTGGTAAATGATATAGGTGATCGCTGAGAATTTGAAGTAAACATTACTTTTCATATTTGCAATTTGTTAGTTATTTTCTTTAAACAAATACTTTATCACCTTTACTCACTAAGCTGTTTTCTAATAAATAATAAATAATATTTAATTATTGATTCAAATAGACCTAAATTTAAAATATATTCTATTTGCTTACTTCATGTATTCTATTATTATTATGAATTTGTCACGGCTCTAAAGGGCCTTTTCTACTTTTCTTAATTCTTCGAGCTGTCTGATGTGACTTATAGAGAGTTTTCAGCCAGTTCATAAGTTGATCAATAGAAGGCTAAAAATTTAGAACCAAAAACTTTCATAATTCTAGAATCAGTCTATGATATAATATAGTATTTTTTTCGCTATTGAAAGGTTCATCATAGTTCAAATCATTCTTTGAGCTGATGGTTTTCAAAACTGCTTTTATTTCGACCTAAATACGAAAAGCAGGAAAAAAATCAGCTAAAAATTTAAATTATTTAGACATAAATTTAAACATACCCTAGTTCTTTTTATATTAGCTTCTTCTATTGTTGAATTATCATTATCCTTAGAATTGTTTTATGTTAATTCTTCCAATTCATAATCAGTATAATACACTGTTGGCTTGGTATCTGTAAACTTAAACAATAAACTTTTAATTCAATACATCGAATTAAATACAAGACAATATCACAATCACGCCTATATGAAGACACGATAAAAGGCAATAGTAAATGAATTTAATAATTCTTTTATTGAACTCTTGGTTTATCCTAAAACCTCGACTTGAGTTGTTTTTCAACCCAAGGAAAAATACAAGATATTTATATAAAATAAAATAATATAAAATCAACTATGACAAATATAACAAATATAACAGATATGATAAATATGATAAATATGATAAATATGTTCAATTGATCAACGTTGACAACTTTAACAACTCTGTCAACTTTGTCAACTTTGTCAACTATATCGATCATTTTGATCACATGACTTATCCGTAATGCAGTCACAGATCACAGTTTCAACACTGACTTTTTTCCCTTTGATTTTGATGACAATTTTCTGATTTTTCTTTATTTTGCAGGAAGACTAGCATTAGACTGCTTCAATGATCTTAGCAGTCATAATCTCTCAAATTGATCAAGTCTTAAATATTAAAAAAGAAAAATTAGTTATTGTAAATATAGAATATTAATATACAATTTTTTACTTTTCCTGTAAATCTTCATTTTCCTTACTGAATTTATCGTTTATTTCAGCAA